GTCCACCCAGTAAAAACTTGGGAGGTAACAAACAAGAAAAATAATACAGTCGAATTGAAAACCTCCTCCTTTTTTTGACGTCTGTAAAAAAGGACCAATCAGATACTAGGATTATGTGATTTAAACATTTCACTTTTCTCGTTGTCTGTATTAGAAAAAATAAAATATGTTTGTCTCTATATTTGAAATTTATTTTTTAGATGCTATTGGGTAATATAAATGCTCAGATCATCAAAGAATTTTTTCAGCTAAATTCAGAATATTTTTAATATTGGCTGATATTTTTATGACAGACCGTTAATTAACGAACTTCGTTTCATGGGGTTGAAAATTGACATTTATTTGATTGGTTGATTGACGTTTCTGATTGGCGCTTCCATTAATTTTCGTGTATACATTAAACATTTTTGCGAACGCCAATGAAAACATAAATAAATAGCTTACTCGATCTGCTTTAGAAAGCATAATGACTATAAATGATTAGTTGTGAAGTTTAAATTAAACATGGATAAGAATGATCTGTGACTTTCTAGATTATAATATATGAGTGTATTTAGGGAAAACTAATCACCACAGTAAATGTCAGTTTAATTCTATTTTAGTTACATAATATACCTACTTGTATTTTATAATGTCTTTTAAAATAAAACTACTTTATTACAGTTTTCAAAAGGGCGTAACAGTCATGAAAGTTAGGAATAACTTACTTAGGCATCACAAAACACAAACAAATGTTTCTTCTTAAAAGTAACGAAAAAAAAACCACGGACACTTTTCGTTTTTATCGATAAAAAAGACAATAAACCCTTAGTAAGTTCAAACGGATACCCTTTTCAAATTTTCCGTTCATTTTCAAATAAAGTAGGCCATTGTTGGCGCGCCGCGATCCTATAGCTAGAATGCCTCCTTCAATACTCGCCGCACAGTTCAGTTAAGACGAGCTTTTTCGCGCGGTCCGCTTGAGCTTTAAATTATGATATTGCTGTAATATGAACTGGGAAATTCTCTAAGGTCCCGTTCCGACATTGTTGTGAATCTTAATAATTTAGTTCTAACTAAGCAGTGGTCTAAGTATTGTTTATGATGTCCGTGTAAAATTTTATTAATTTGTTATTATTTATTAGTGCCTGGACGACCAAGCTTTGCTCGATATTTTTTTTGGTAATTGAAACCTAGCTAGAGCGATTTATCGGCCTCTAAACCCGCTGCATACTAAATTTAATGGAAGTCATTTATACATATATATACAAGAATTGCTCGTTTAAAAGTAATAGAAAAATATGTTATTTTGATTGTATATAAAGAGAACAAGACAATATATTTTTAGTTATATATATTTTTTTACATGGTAGTATTAAGTAACACAAAATGTGAATATTATTCATTAAATAGATACTCCATAATGATCGATTCCAATCCTATCTCGAGTACCTGAGAATCTCAAATATTATTTATTTATAAAATAACCATGCCTAAAACTCAAAAAGGTATTAACAAATTTTAATTGATTTAGCCATATATGGGGTAACTTACGAGATTTTTGTATAACATATTTGTGTTTAATTTATTAAAGTTTTGTTGAAAAAATCTAACAAGTCGTGTCGAATGAGAGCTTGCTTAATTATTTCAATGATCTGAAATTAATTAATAAATCCCCTATTAAACGAAACCGAATTCTTATTGGAACCTGCAAAGGATCAGGAGTGTCAGAATAATTTAATAATAAATATTAGATTTAATAATAAACATTCATAAATATTAGACAAACACCGAAGTACGACATCGAAGTATGTCCGAGATCATGTAGTTAATCTTCTACACTGACCTTACCAGGAGTTGAACCCTGATCTCAGACCTGGCGACAGCTTGAAACCGGCATACGAATCTCCGCAGCTACGTAGGTCAATACATTTTTGCAAAAATATACGTGATAAAACCATTTAAAAGTCATTTAGTTATTGATTAGCGTACTTGAAAATATTAGTAACAAATACGTAATTATAACTATCGCGTGAAATGACGCTTTATTTCACATCTAGAATAGTGTCAGCTCGCTGTATATTGCTGTTGAATGCGCTGCTATACGACTATAGGTTGTATAAGTCTGCTAATGCCACTATCGAGTGCAGACACACTGCCAATCCGCTCGCTAACGAGACTCTATTGAATGTCGCTACCACTTCTATCGCGCTTTTTAAATATAACACAACGGAAATTGGTTTATGGATGAACTAAAATCGTTGTAATGTAATCAATTTCTTGATATTTTCGTATCGAATTGCCTAGCTCGATTGAACCACGGTTGTTATTTGAAGTTTGTTCGACATTAAGGAAGCGATTCTCAAGAAGACTTGTTTTAAAGAAATTTAAAATCGAAAGTATGAGGGTTTATGTTCGAGTGGCATGTTAAAATTTAACCACTTTTAAGATTAGTATTATTTTTTACTTTTGAAAGTTTGAAGTTGGTTCTATTTTTTGAAAAATGTTTTTATTATGTAAGTAAAAACATCAAAAAACAACCTCGTAAATTTGTCACAGCACAGTTTCAATGAAATAAAACCTTAATTGCGTTTTGAAGTAGGTTTTATTTAATTGAACCTTTAAACTGTTACAGCGCTGTGCTCGACGTCGAGTTTGAGGTCGGTTTCATGAAAGTACTGCAGATATACTCGTTAAATAAATAAAAGTGTCCCATAACTTATTATTGTCTGTTAGAAAGTAACATAGCGATATCGATGACCGACTGAACCACGTATTTACCCTAAATCACCCACCATCCCCTCTTTTTCGTCTCACTAACAGCGACCAGTGGCCCGGAAACTGATAACCGGTATGTCGGTCATCCGAATAAAAACTTTGTGTTGCTATTTTCGAAATTAAATAACGTTAAATTTCAGGAGGAATTCGATGGTACAGTATTATAGGTACGTTAATCTACTATTGCAAGGGCCGATCACAGGATGGGTGACCAATAACAAAATATTATATTTTATAGAATTACCTCCATACGTACCATGTTTTGATTGAGTTTTCGATATTTCGACGCTATTACAAGCGCCATGATCACGGGGTAAAACTAAAAGCTATTTTTCTAATGTAAACGACCATAGAAGCTTAAAGCCACATATTATTATATTGAGATAATAAATTTTTAATATGCAATCGAATTCAATAAAAATATGCATTCATTGAATGTCACTTTGTCATAAACTTCATCCACATATTCCAAGACAAGTAAATTAGTTTTTTTAAAAGTTTTCCTTATTTAATTACACGATATACATTACCTATAAATATTTAACAAAATAGCTGTAATATTAATAGCAGTCGCATATGTTACGTACTAGACGTACATTATATCATTATTCATGCGACCTGTGATCGATTGCGTATTTCGTCAGGTACTGTGACAGGGTAGATTGATATTCGCGCCATGTATCTATAATATATCCATTTCACAGGTTATAATGAAGGCTTGCGAGCGACCTAGTCCCGGGAGAGCCGTCCAGTTGCGGGTAATGGTTGCTATTTGAGAAAAAATGAAATATTACGTTCATATGGTTACTGGAAGTATAATGTTGCCAAGCTGTAAGATTTCCTCGAATGAATATCATATTTTTTTAATTTTTTTGTTCAAAGATGGGTTGACGTTTGGCCACTACCCAGGGAGTGCCTATTTACATTGACTTTGAAGAGTGCCAGGTTATACTATAATGAATTTATAGATTCCATTACTTTCTAGAGATTTCAAATGTTTACATGAGCTAAAATTAAATTGGTCACCCATCCAATCTTAATGCTTAACCTCAGCAATCGCATACCCTATTACTGGCCACTGCATTATCGAGGGTCTCTTTAGTAAGTAACGACGTAACATCGTTAAGAAATACTAAGTATGTAATCACTTTTCGAATATTATATGTGGGTAGGTATCATTATAAACGAAATTTATTGAAACATAAAACTGTTTATAGCACTCCTAGTTAGAATACCCCGTAAACCGCTTAACTTGTTTAAGTTACGAGGAACCAAATGAGATTATAATCTGCGCTAAAATCATAAAACTTGAGGGAAGCCGAGACTTGAGAGGCCCTTTTGAACGCAATGTGACCTACAAAATGTTTCCAGCTCGAAGGAAGTGTGCTGGAAATAAACCTCTTTTCTTAATGAATGCTTTGACGACAGTTTTTTTTTTTACTAAAAATTACCGCTCCGAAGATGTTTCTTCCTTTCCCAATTTATTTTTCTAAAATGTGTTCTCTCTGAACTGATTCTGAGTTTTCGTTTGGAAGTATTAAGCCTTTGACTCGCGATGCTTATAAAAATATATAATACAACAAATAATAACATAACAGCCCTTATCTAATTAGAATTACTGAACAATATTTAGTTGTGTAAAATTAAAAAGAACTCTTTCCATACTTGATAAAATATTTATAAACTTTTCTACTACACCCTGTCATTACAGCTTTTAGTACTTTTTCTTTTAACAGATTTCAAAATGAAAACGAAAAAGTTCTATGTTAGACGGATATGAATTTTTATTTGCTTTGGTATCCTCATTAATTGTTTCAAAAAAGTACACAAAAAAAATACAATACTATCCCAAGATGTTTTATATAATTCTATGTTCGGTTCGCTAACCGTTTGTTAAGTGTCGCCTATCTATGAGATTTTGAGTTCGATTCCTGGTTATTGTAGAAAATTAACTTTACATTGTCTAGGGTCTGCTAGTTTTGGTGCCTTCGTTGTTTCAAGTTGCATAATAGAAGTTCTTTAGATATTTAATTTTTATTTACATATGTTATATATTTATTTATCTATTATTATAGAAAAATCACTTGTACGGTTAGCAAAAAATCGCTAGTGTCAGTGTAGCCTGTACGCGTAGCATTACGAATTCGAGACCCGAGAAATATTGAAAGTAGTTTTCTATAAGAAAAATATCAATATAGCATTGTGAGCGCAAAAAATATCAAAGATTATTAGATGGTACTCACCAAATCTGGCTTCCTCCCCCTCGGGTGCCTGCGCCGTGAGGGTGGACAGCTCCTTTTCCAGGTCGACCTGGTGCTCGCCAGAGTCCCATGATAGCAGTCCTAGAACAAAACAAAATGTTCATTAGCTACAGAGAAAGTTTGTCCACGTAGATCATTCCATACTTAAGTCTTATGTTTCTGAGTAAATCTCATTTTCGTGGAAATATAACTAGAAGGTTACACTATTACATTTAACTATACTAATAAAGTAACATAAGGATAGAAACGAAAAGTTACCGCACTATCAGACCCTACTGGAAAATTAATTAATTATCAGAAAATGTCAGCTAACTTAAAGACGACAGAAGCGGGATATTACGAAGGAAATATATGATTGTTTGTTTCTATTAATCAACGAAACTACTGACTACATCATAATATCAAATTCATAAGCTACATCACACGCGGGTGCAACCTCGTTAATATAAAATCATTACCATATAACAAACTTGAATAACAAATAAATACGTAGAAAGTATAACCACAACTTATGGTGCTCCACAATTTAAATCGCCAAGCCATGAATATATAGCGACACCAAAATAGCTATCAAATATAAAGTCTACTTAACTCGACTAAATAATCCTCAAAATAGAACAAAAAGTCTAAATGTTTCTGTATAACCTGAAAACTATTGCCTGTAAATAGTAAAACTTCAATAATTGTATGACATACAATTATGATAGCATTGAAATTGTTCCAATTTCTATGTTCTTTGCATTATAAGTAGTTTAATTCGAAACATTAACGTCGTAATGTTCTCGCTCATGTCGTCAGTATGTTTGCAACCTTATACAGCACATCCCGAGTCAGGGGATGGAAACGCAAAAGGAAATTGTGCCGCAACGAGCTCGGCAGTGTTAATATTTGTCGATCTGTTTACATTTCCCAGTATTAGATGCTCTTCAAGTTACTGTTGTGCAGCTGATGTTCTGATATTACAATTCTTTATTACACAGTTATTCGGCTGTGAATTTTTTCCTGTTACTTACGAAAATATAGAGAAGAGTTTTTGGTTCATTATAAATGCATATCCGATTTTGTATTATGAGATCGGACAGCCAGATCGGACCGATGGACAGCGGAGTCTTAGGAATAGTCCGTTTTACCCTTTGGGTAGGAACCCTAAAAATTCAAAATAAATTACACATATTTTTAATTAAATATTTTTTATGTAAATATGTATGTAAGTATGTTTAAATATGACTAATATTTTTACAACTTATTAATTAGTCTACCCCTTTAATTCACTCTCAATTATTTCCCATATTACATTAAATACTATAATTATATAAAAAAAAATATAAAAACTTCTAACACCGTCAACTGCATTTAACATTTATTCACGGACCACTTTGTTGGCTCCCATTTTTCTCTGGAATAAATCGATACATAGATTCTATTTTTTACATATAAAAGGTGCCCTAGAGAATATATTATTCGTACATATTAAATATGTATGTGAAAATGTATTTGTGTTTTCTCTTTTCACGTGAAAATGGAGTGACATGTTAATGTGGTTTCCTTTATAGACAGTCTAAAGGCTCGAGAATGACATAGGATACTGTCTATTCCGCTAAAAGGATCCTCGAGGGAGTCTTTCTTTAATAAAATTGACAAGTCATTTCTAAAAACCACTAACTCCCAAATAATGAACGTATGCTGGTTTAATGCAGCGTAATCCAGATTAATAATGACCCGTCACATTTAAGCTGACCCATTGTTTGGCCTCTTTTGTTTTAGTCCATTTCAGACACTTTATGTACACTTATCATATCATGAAAATGTTACGTAATAACCGAATATGTTAGGGTAACGTTAGCAGGGGAATAATAATAAGGGACTGTTGTAAGGGAATTCTGGCTGGGTTGATAACGAGCGTAGATAAGGGTAGGAAATTAATAAAGCAATATTTATCGTATCAGATCAGAAAGTAAGAATAAAAATAAAAATTTCGGACAAAATTAATGATCCTAAAACATTTTTATGAAAAGATAAATTGCAACGGGATGAAGATTCCCGTTGTCGGTGTAAATGAAATTAATTCCATTTGTAAGGAGGCTCGACGAATGGACAAAACTCTCCCTCCCTCCCATCAATTCTCATCACTATCTCCACCGAGTTAAAAAGGGAAAAAATATACAATTTATATATAAACAAAAGAGATGCAAGATTCAACTTGTATCTTGAGAATTTAAAATCGTGTTTCAAAGGAGTTTTTTAAATATTTTGTTTCATTATTCCTAGAGGAACAACTAATAGCTGACCGTATCCATATTCAGCTAGCTTTACAAAAGAAGTTTTATAGTGAGTTACTGTCATAACTATCGTTCAGTAAAGTGGACAGTAAAACAAGTTTTAAATTGGTCTACAAACTGCGAAACTCATTTGTGGGCCAGTAAATATTGTGTGAGGAGTGGATACATAAGTGAGTCCCGCAGGAGATAAAACGTATGTGGGTTAATTGCATCAGGCTGCTCCGTTCGTGCATACGTTATAATGTCCACTTGTTGCGGACTGTCTCATGTAACAGGTATTAATGAAAATGTTGAATCCAGAATTTAATGACTTGGATATCGGAGATTCGCACTTTTGTCATTTTTATGACAAAATTAACATTTCCTTACTTTTTACAATACACGGACCCCTAGGAAATCAAATACGATTTCAAGGGGAATCTCTTATTGCCTCTTACAAAAAAGCAATAAATTTCAAACCACTTGCATTACAAAAGTGGTTTTAAATTTTTCGATGTGATTTTGAGTTCATAACTATCTTGTCGAGATTCCGCTGAGGCATTCGGTGTGCTAAGAACCTACATATATGTACGTACCTACATATACTAAAGTATAATAGAAATGTAGTACTGTATATTATATTATCACCAGATAAAAGTATATCCTATATTGAAATAAGGTGGCTGTTGAAAAAAATTCAAACAAAAACAACAGCAAACAACGAAAACAGTCCAAATAATATAACATAATTTGTTTTCAGATTACATACCTTGGTCGACTCCGCTTCTGCCATTCAATTTACTTACTTACTAATACGATGACATTAATTGAATTTGTAATTAATTTCAAATGAGTTCTCAGCAGCTCGTAATTGCTAATTTCCCAGTACGCAGTGACCCGGAAAAGGCTGCAGTGGTTAATTATGAAAGACGATACGTCACTCGTGAGAGATACACACTCATATTTAATTACACCCATAAGTAGAGATTTTGTTCGGGTAATAAAAGCGACCTTTGGCAAATTTTTGGATTACGTTAAGTAAGAATTGAGTAGAAACAACATATAGACAATATAGTTAGTTTATATAGTTGTAAGCAGTTAAACGAAAATAAACGCCCCAATATTCTACCTACATTATCAACATGCTAGATTTCTTTAGCGTCAGGCACAGAGAAACGAGTATCATCAGGCTCGGTCATTCTTTATTGACATTCAAATAATTTTATTCATTCGTCGACTTGAACGATCTTGCATATTCGCGTAGATCATTGCTATAATAATCTTGCATCCTGTACTCTATTTACATCAACATGTTTTTCAATACTTTAAAAGACAATTGCTTAAAAAAATCATTTTGTCCCTGGCACTTTTGAGATGTACTCGAACCCATGATTTTTTTAAGTATTTTTGATTGAGAATTATTTTTAGTATAGCATTATGAATGAAAAATCGATCAAATGTAATAATGTTTTTCAATGTTATCATTTAGAAACAAATATAAAATTATTACAATAGCGAGTTCTTCGTAATATGGCTTCTAAACCGGCGGTAACGACAAACCCAGTAATACTTCTCGATGTATCACACACAATAGTAATAGTTGATTTTGCTAACATTTTCAGAATTAGAACAGCTCTTACGCGTTATCGAAAATATCGATAATGATCAGTGTTATGGCGAGATTCTCGTCGCGTTTAGTTCAATATAAACGGCGCATTCCGATGCCCCAAGAATTATTTAATACTGGGCAGCATTGTGTTGGTTCAAGTTATTTTCATCATTATATAAAAGGTGTATAAGTCAATTTCTATTTTTATATTAGACCATTGTTTAGAATATAAGAAATATATTTCAGCGCGTTTATATTTGACTTCATGACGTTTCGGAATCTTTACAGTTCCCGTGTTCATTTAAGACTAAGGTATCGATTGTTTTTTCTATATTAAGAGTATAGCTACCCAAAAAAAAAATACTGTTGGACACATTCACAATACAATTTTTATTATATTATATGGAAACATTTAGATTTATTAAATTAAATTATTTTTAAAAATTATATTTGGCTTATTTAATTTATTAATCATTTATTTACCCCTGGGTATCGTAAACTACCAAATTTGAGAGTTTTGTCTGAGAACTATTGAAACAATCTCCGACAAGAAAGGTAGTGCGTGTGAAAATATAAGAAAATCAGTAAGTGTTTTCTTATAAAAATTATCAATAATTTCAGCCAACATTGTTTTCCTACTTTTATCAAGCTTTAATACAATATGTTGTTTATCTTAAATCCTATTTAAATAATCGAAAGGATACAGAGATGGAAGGTGTATGTATATACCTACATGCAACGAAAGCTAAACACGGCTTCAAATGAATGTACTTTAGGAAATATCCAGGTATTCATTATGATTTTTTTTTAACATTTTCGTTAGTAATCGCCATATTTCGGCCGATTTACAGAAAATCTTAACGAATCATACATGAGAACTCTACCCATGTTCCGTTTAATAATGGAAATTGAATGAATATATATTTAGCCAGAGTACGCTGTTTATTTGTGACTAATTGTTTCTGTTGCTATGCTTGCATCTTGTTCAGTCTCAAAGTTTTAAAATTTGTAAGTAAATGTAAAAAATCCATATAGGGTAATTACAATTGGCAAGGATCATAAACATTCAAACTAAATAGTTAAAAATAAAAATAAGCGGTTCACCTCATTTTTATTCCCCTGAATACTTTTTATAATACTACACTAAAAAGTACGAAACCAACAACTGCAATAAACTGAATTTCCCAGTACGCCCGCCATTTGCATAACTATAC